TAGCCTACTACACCCTAATAGTTACTATTAAACACTGACTAGTAGTAATTGTTTCACAGACGGATGAAAATGACACCTTTATAGAGTACTCTATTTGATATTTCTTTTTTAGTTGAATATTTTGAAAGGACCAGTAAAATTACAAGAACTCATGATCACACAACTCTTTTCACTATTGTTTGAATATAAAATCCGACATTGACTCTTGTTTGTTTTTTGATTCACAGCCTCAAGTAGACGACGTAAGTATGTACAGATTAGAAGATAATTAAAAAAATTGACACTTGGTAAATCACTTTKAAAAGACAGTGAAACAAAAAAAGRAACAAAWAAGAATGAACAAAGAAGAGTGAATGAGAGGTAGAAATTTCAAATCGCGAGAAATAACTTCTTCGTTTTGTTTATTTTCCCATAGGWATCATGCAATTAAGAGGTAATTAATATTTTGTTTACGTGTTCTTTTAACCATCCCAGGAAATCACGGCAAGCTATCGTTTATTGATTRAAAAAACGCAGGAAAACCATGAAATAAAGTCAAATACTAACAAATTGCGGCTATTTACAAATTGTCAGTATCAATGAACCAGAATGCAATGAAGATGAATCCACATGGGACCATTTTTAATTCATCTTGATTGCATTCTAGTTCACTGATACTGGTAATTTGTCTCTAAAAAGCCGCTATTTGTTAGTATTTGGTTTGATTTTATTTCATGTTTTTTCCTCTTTCTGTCGGCGTAATTTCGCTTCTTGTCGTCTTCGTGTAACTTGTAGATTTTGGGTAGATCTAAATCTTTGTACGTATCTGCGTTTGGGTGAYYAACCCYTACGTCAAAAAAGTCAGAGCGTTGCTTTTCTCAGAAAACACGAGCATGGATATCAAGTCTTGCGTCTGCGTCTTTGATTGCTCTTTTGCTTAGATTTACATTCGTGTGATTGGCTGAAGCAGGGCTCAATCACGACGCCATTAAATATTGTGTTGAGGAGTTCATCTTCAGATCGCGAAAAATATGACGTTGAATTATGAACCCTCGTCGTTTACAAATCATCGTGTGGTCGACAGGCAAGTCTATTTTGGTGGATTGTCGTTGAAAGACCAGTTGTAGCGGAGCCTTAGAGCATCTCTAAATTCTCTCTTGTTCAAATCGAACCCCATTTCCTTAAGAGGAATAACCAGGTTGATGCTCCTTTCTCTGCGGCTATTCTAAAGATCTTGCTGTTACCTCTGGCAGACTTTCTTTTAGGCTTTCAAATATAACTATTTTTTTTTTGTTTTAACTTGTTTATTTATTTATTTTGTTTGTTTGTTTGTTTGTGTATTTCTTTTTAAGAATGGTTCATTCATAAAATTGYAATATCTTTACCTCTAGAAAAGTCCGGTATATGCCCAATATTCAATGTAGCGATTTGTGAAGATTTTGTGTGGGATCAGTGCATGGTAGACTCTGACTGTACAGGMAGAGAAAAGTGCTGCAATAACGGCTGCATAAAGAAATGCCTTCGACCAGTGACGAAACCAAAGAAAGTTATTCCAAAAGTAAAACTTGGACGATGTCCTGCACCGACTTTCTCTGGAAAGGTAGCTTGATTACTTATTTCCTTCATCTTTTTTTCAATTTTCGCCGATTCTGTCATTGGTGATTGTTGTATTTTAGGTATGCAGCAAYCGATATCAAAATGACGTGTGCGCTGTTGACCAAGATTGTCCTGGAATTCGTAAATGCTGCCATAATGGTTGCAACTTTGACTGCGTTTATCCTCCGGAAATCCCAAATGGCAAATCAAAACCTGGAAAATGTCCAGTTGTGGTATGATCATTTGTTGCTTTAAATGCCGTGAAAATATCAACTACCTAAACGATGTTGCCTATCTTTATACGTGTACAATTATGACTAAAATATTACTTTACGTAAACATTTAGAATACATGATTGCACTAATGTTCAATATATAGTCGCCATTTTCCCCTCCACTTACAGTCACAATCACTGCTTGCACTTGTTCGGTGATTGTGTACGTAATAAACGMTTTTCATTAGTCATTCTAAATTTAGCTTTTCAACCATAGGATCCAGATGAATTTCAGTTGTGCAGCGAAACCAACGACGAATGCTCAAGTGATGGAGATTGTTTTGGTCCAATGAAATGCTGTTTCACTGGTTGTGTCAGAGCATGTGTACCCGTACCAAAACCAGAACCCAAACCAGGACAATGTCCTATCCAAGATTACATCGACCCAGAAATGTGTGTCGATACGAACGATGAGTGTTTATTTGATGAASAGTGCTCTGGAAGTAGTAAATGCTGCTTTASTGGCTGCAAAATGGAGTGCTTATCCCCTCCAGGTAATTTGCTACTGTCATTATGATTTTAATAGATTATTTAGTGATTAYTTCATTGATATCTTGATAGTCGAGTGAAATATTTAATAGACTACTTGTTGAAAGCGCAGGAATGACKGGACGAATGAATAATAATGATAATCAAATAATAATAATCTTWATTSAAATAAAATATCTAGATTGCAAATTTTTACGTCAAAAAAAACAGGGTAAAACAATTGCAATTTTGCATAATAATAATGATAAGAAGAAGAAGAAT